GTCTCACTTCAAGCCCACACACCAACATCACTGTGTTAATGGCTCGTAACTGATTCAAATCAAGGGTTTTAGCCACTGAGAAGCACACGTGTAAGTAATACGATGAATTTAGTTGAATTCAAATGAAGGTGAATGCAGCAGAATAGATGGTGGGTGGAGTATGATGGGTGAGGGGATGAGGATGGTGGGTGGAGGGTGAGCTCAGTGGCGGGGGCATGGCTTCAATGTGAGCAGCTGTCCAGTCAGTCTGCGGTCAGCGTCAAACAGGGACATACACAGAAAGGCTTTAGGTAAGATGGAGACAACTTTAATTCGAATTTTCCTCCATGTATATTATATATGATGTAATTCCACTGAATCAGAGAGGGAGGTTCTGAACTGAGCGTCCAGAACAATTCACAAAGTCCAGACAAAAATCTGTTCCCTGTCTGTCAGACGGAGGCGATGCAGAATATTCATAGAGAATTTGCTGTAGTATAAGGTTAAAATTCAATTGAAGATTCTTTTACATATAGTTTCATTTTGCAGAAACTTAATATTTTTCAAGAGAAGAAAACTGTATTTTAGTTTCCCTGTTGATTTATATGTTTTTCTTAAATATATAAATCAATAAACCATTTTTTTTTTTACTGCACCTGAACTTAAGGTTAAGTTAGATTTTCAGATATTTTCTCCATAAACACCAAAGTGGTTGTATCTGTTGTATCTTAGCCTATGGTGTTATTTGTGGCATCTCACCCCAGCAGTGCCATCCAGTGTCACGATGCTTTCCACAGAGGTCACCACGTACAGCGATCCTTCCTCTCAGGACAGGGAGGAGTTCGAAGCATCCTCCCTACTCCTCCCTCTCCAGGACGGGGACTCGCCTCCCTATCAGGATGCTGTGCCTCCATCCGGCTGGTCCCTCACCTGTAGGGCCATGGTGGTCATCAGTGTTGGCATGCTGTTGTTTGGATCTGGCACAGTACTGTCCTTGCTCTTCTTCACCCAGGTGGGTAATGTCCCCTACCTGCTGGGACCCCTATTCCTCTCTGTGGGTCTGATGTTGCTGGTCACTGGACTGGTGTGGATGTCCATTCTAAAACAGAGCCTGGAGCCCAGGTCTTTTACCACGGTCAACTAAGTGGAGTGGAGAAGTGGAGCACAAACACCACTGATGGGGAACTCAGGCTGAAAGCACCAGGACCCGAAAAAAAACCCAAACTGAAAGTGAATAGCAGCGGACAGTGGCTTGATTTAAATGACCAGTCATGGTTGCATCATGGGGGATGTTGGATCCAGTGTCTTTGGACATAATTGTCACGCATCAAAATTACCTTTTTGTTTGTTTGTTTTATGCAACGTCAATTTCAGCCAGCAAAGCTGCAAAATAATAATCCATTGATAATGTCACTGTTAAATGTGATTGTAACACTCGATTGGCAGAATATATTTATTTCATGCGCATAAATATGTAGCAGGTGTGTGATTTGTTCCGACCCCTTTGTGCCCCTTCAGGTTCTGTAGACTGAGTACTGCCGGTCTTTTCTTAAGGTTCTGTAGACTGAGTACTTCCAGTCTTTATGCCAGGTTCTGTGGACTGAGTACTTCCAGTCTTTACGTCAGGTTCTGTGGACTAAGTACTTCCAGTCTTTACTTGCTGTGGCTCAATTACTGCAGGTCACTATTACAGTTCCAGAGAGAAAGCTGCAACTAGAATTATCAAAGGCCAAGAGTACAGACCATTCTAAGCAGACAGGCTTAGAACAAACGCTGCACTAATTCAACACACAAGAGTTATAGCCAAGAGTCACTAAGCTCCATCCCTTGTGAGGATAATTTGGTTGATGATGCTCGGCTTAATTAGGCCAAAACTTTGATCCCGTGCTGTGACCTTTACCATTTGACAGAAAATAATCAAGTCCCCAGAATCTGATAAGTGATGAGAAGGAGTTGATTGATCTGGCTGGCATCTCGAACACAGATGCTGCTCTCCCTGCAGACCACAGTCTGTGGATGGCCTTCATTAACACACATTGACCTCTTGCTGCATACACATTGAAAGATCAGAAAGTAGAGTCTGCTCATCTCTTCCTTGTAAGCAGTGTCAGGGTTCAGACAGTCCAGACCCTCTGACGACCCTGTGTTAATAACATCACATCACAGTGGGAGCTCCGAAGTGGAACCAACGTGAGCCTATTCGAGCCTATAGGCAGAAGTCCAGGAGAAAGTAACAGCTCCTCACTCAACAGAAAAGCTTTAATATGATTATTAACATGATTCTCACAGTTCCACCACAAACATCCAGGTGAGAGTGAGCTGTATGAAGCAGGTAAATGACAGCACGGTTCATCCCCACATTGGGCTGGAAGTAAACTGAAGAGGGTCTTGAGCAGATCTCAGCTGTGGTCTATGGTGGGAGAACCAGAACCAGCCTCTCAAGAACTGTCATGATGTGTGATATACAGTATACGTGCAAGCAGTCTGCGGTCACTGGGTGCAGATGGGGTGGCACTATTGGATACTGGTGCCAAAAGGAATGTTTTCCACAGCAACAGCATCCTTTCCCCTGTCAGACTCAAGTTGTGATGTGTTGCAGGAAACCAAACAGCTGGGTAGCAGGAATTCAGGGCCCTGGGGTGGATAAGATCAGTGCCTGCTGCCTTTGAGTTTCATCGACGAACTCTAAGAGCATGAGGGAAAGACTCTCTGGTCTGGTGAGGCCTGGGATCAAAGTTTGCTGAACTCCAAAGACAATTTCTTGTGAACACCAGGCATTGCTCATCACCTGGCTAAGCATCCTTAAAGTGAAGCATGATAGGGCAACGTCATGCGATGGGGGGCAGGGACAGGGAGAGTGGTCGGAATTTAGGTCCTTAAAGAAAACTAGCCCCATAACGCACAACCTGACTGTGTATCTGTGGAGAGACCTCAGCATGTCAGTTCAAAGATACTTCCCATCCAGAGTTTGAGGATCCACCAGGGAGAATGGAGTAATCTGCTGAAATCTGGGTGAACAGAGCTTGGAGAAACGTACCCAAAAAGACTCCAAACATAACTGCTGCCAACAGAGCTTCTAGAGAGGATGGATCTGAGGGACTGAATAGTTTTTTAAATTGTACATTTTTGTTTAAATTTCCAAAAGTTCCTATAGACCTGTTTTCGCCTAACCATTTTGGATTACTATGTGTTTAAGTGTTTGCTGGGTAACATGGCAATGTTATCCATTTATAATAAATCTGTAACAAAAGCCAAAGGGGACTGATCCTTTGTGAAACCACTACACCACATGAGTCACATTCACCCATTCACACACATCATACACTGCTTCTGTATCATGTCCCACATGAGGGTTCAGTGTCTTGCCCAAGGACACTTCAGCATAGACTTGGAATAGCCCAGAGTCAAACCTTGACCTTTTCATTAATAGGCGCACTCTACTTCCTAAGCCACAGCCTTTACAAATAATTTAGAACAAAGTATTACTGTAGTAAACTTGGTATTTGACAATACACTTGTTAATGGGGCTATACACCTCTGGACATATTGAGACCATGCATGTTTCAATGTGAATGTGTGTTGTAGACCTGCTGGAAATGATTTTATCACTAGAGTTCACTTTCTCTATTTCATATGAAGAACCTGCCATGTTTTGTAGTACAAAGGATTGGACATGCACAGATGTTTTTTGCGGCTCCATCTGTCTCAGTGTGATCCACACAGGCTGCTGTGTGTTCTTGCTGTTCACTGTCATTTATTTATAAGCTTCCCTGCCCATTGTGGCCTCTGGTGGACTGTGTAATCATTTAAAGCAGGATTACTGAGGCACAGAAATATTACTGGAAATATCCATCTCTGTTGGCCACTGGTTCCAGACCTCCATGTACCCACTCACACACACACACACACACCTTAAAACTTCACCTTAACCTGTAATGGTTTACGTTTTGTGGCTGTGTGACTCTGTGGGTCCCCACAACATGATTAATACCTGGAACACACACTTTGGTTTTGTTGTGGCTCCGGGCCAAAGACAAGCATGAGCTGATCTGCATGTCCATCTGTCTGTGTGCACGATGCAAATAAACCAGGAAATATCCCGTTAGATAACATGATAACATCACCAGTACGAAAACACTGAGGCAAACATGGACGCACATCTGTAGATGTAGCCTGGGGAACGTCTCTCCCTCTCATCTCCTTCTGTCTCATCCATGTGTCCCTCAGATTGGTTGATTGAAAATCTACTTTAGAAAATGATGGTTCCTCTTTGGCTTTGACCATTACAGACACCAACACCAATCAAGAGATGATGATATCAAATCCACACTGTTTAATATATTCTCATCTAATATGCCTACAAAATTAATATGTCCACCAGGTCACAGTGGCATTGTCAATAAATTATTATTAATATTGTATTATTAGATATGTCTTGTATGTATCATTATGTATTATTTTGCTGGCCTGCATCTCTCTTATAACTGTCAAGTTTTTCCTCATTATGTTAATTAATAACGTTTATAAATTAAAGTTAAATTTTTTACTCAAACATTTGAACAGTGTGTCACATATTGAATATTCACGACTGTAAGCAGCGAGAGTGTAGCATCGCTCTGAGGGCAATGCTTGTTTAATCATACTGGGCTGTAGTCTTACAAATAAAAAATATGCAAGGCTTTCCTTTACACCATACAAAAATCTGAGTTAGTATTTATTTGTAAAAGGGATATATTTGGTACTGTAAAATATAATGTTTCCCTTATAACACTAATGAGGAACTGAAATAACTGTTTCAGACAAATGTTTTCATAAAACATTTAATAAATTAAAACCTTTGCACAGTACTGTAGACATGCAGGCTGCAGAATGAGCAGGGAACCTACAGACATAGAATATATATAATATATACAGTAGTACACATCAGACATTTTCTTATGTATGAAAACTTGACAAATTGACACACTTTCCATTATGTTACACAATGTTGTCTTCTAGTCGCTGTGGTAAATTGTGTTATTTTGTTGATGTGGTCATCTTCTGTACTTCTGTCCGTCCTGGGAGAGGGATCCCTCACATGAGCTCTCTACATGCCCCCCTCCTGTTTACAGGTTTCTTTGTCTTTTGTTCTCACTGTCTCTCTCTTGACAGTATGATCGTATGAATGGAAGGTACTATGAAAGAGATTCCTCATCAAGTGATCCAGCACAAACAGTTTCACTTTGTGGTAGAATGAGATTGTCTGTCATAAACCATAGAAAATAAATACTGCAGTTCTTTACTGGACAACAACTACAGGTAGAGCCCCTCCTCCTGTGAACACCACGCCCCTCCTCTGTGACACCTGAGCGGACTGAGTCTCACCTGTCTCTCCTCTCTCTCCTCAGTCTCCCGTTTCACCTGTCTCACCTGTCTCACCTGACTCCCCTGTCTCACCTCTCTCACCTGTCCCACCTGACTTCACCTTCCCCTGAAACATAATGGCGCGGTGCGGATACCGCGGGGAGTAATCGGAGGGGGGGGGACAGTGTGACCTGAGCTCAGCCGCCGTGTGAGGCCATGGAGCCGGTGTACCGGGGTCTGGGCCGCTGCGTCTGCTGCTTCTGGCTCGCGGTGGCTTTTGACATCGTGGGACTGCTCGTGCTCCTCATCGGGGTGTTCGTCAACGTGTTCTTCTACGACCTGCTCATCTACGCGGGCGCCATCGTCATCTTCCTCAGCCTCATCTGGTGGGTGTTCTGGTACTCGGGGAACATCGAGGTCCCCCAGTCGGAGCTGCAGGATGACGTCGGGCTCCCGAAGAAGGAGACGGGCGCTCTGAGGGGCCTCGGCGGGGCGGTGAGGCGCTTCTCCAGCCGCGTGTCCAGCGGCATCCGGAGCTCGTTCCGCTCGAGCGGGAGGGAGTCCGGTGCCCGTGCGCGCGCCCAGAGTTCGGTGGCCCCGCGTGCGGAGCAAGTGACCATTGCTATGGCAACGAGGAGCCCACAGGAGGACAGCTCGCGTGCCGCTGGCTCCTGTGACGTAGAGATGCCGAACACCTCCACTGAGACTTCAGCTACATAACAGGTGAGGCGGGTGATCCTTATTCTTTACTATTCCTTAAATACAAATGTCTACATTTATCCAAAGAAAAAAGTGTCTTAAAGTGTCTTGTTAAACAACACAACATAGATATACATGATCTTTATATATCCTATTATTTAAAACAAATCCAGAATAGAAGAACTATGTGAATGATCTTGCTCCCTCCTTTACTTTCTTTCCGTTAGATACGGAACTAAAATCATCTGTGGTCGTGGCAGTAAAGATCTCTTATCTAGACAATCATTAACCACAGTTCACTGCTCACTGAGAGACCAGCCCTAAGCTTAAGCAATAGATGGCTCACCCAGAACCTCCTGAAAACATCTGCGCCCCAGATTGATGTGGAGGTGTCTGATGAAATGCATGGCAATAACTTTCTGCTTACAGCGTGTCAACTCAAAGATTAAACTCATCTCCAGTCTGCACACAAGGTGTCATCGAATTTCTTTTCCACAGACAATGACTCATCATTGGTTCCTGGAAGCACTACACGGAGGAGAGGCTGCCCGGCATTGCACGACGCTGTTGACATTCAACTCTTCTACTGTTATATCTAAAAGAATTGTTAGCTGAAGTTGAGTGTTGGAGGACACACTGTAAGACTTGACTACAGATACGAACTGAAAAACTGAATGAATTTACACAGTAAAGGTCTAGTCACTGATATTTGTAATCATTTTTGTAACAGTTTCGATCAAAGCATGTGATTGAATTGTCTCATCATGATGTTGTACCCAGTATTTGTTCCTCATGCCTGTTTTGTTAAAGGTCGATTTTAATGTCACTTCCTGTCCAACAAACAAACTGCTGCGTCACTGCAGCATGAGTTAAAAACATCCTGCTGTTATTGAATGATAATTCTTGACCGCAGTTTTCTGTTATCTGTGTTCTTTTTGATGGTGGAAGAGACAGACTACCTTTGAAAACTGTTTTCACAACTTTAAACTGACCCAACCTAATGGAGACTGGCATGTTTCCCTTCTTCAACCTTGACTGAACGTTTACTTAGTTTCTGCTTCCAACTCAATGACGACATGTCAAAGAAGTTGCATAGAGGCTGCATTTTCTTTTAGATAATCTCAAGTTGAGCATAACTGAGCAGGTTCTTTGTGCAGTGTGATCCTGTCTTTGGTTGTGTTGTGTGTATATGTATGTATTGTAAAATTGATTGTTATATGTTTTTCTGG